AAGAACCAATTTTGGGGGTTTTAGTTAACCTTTCTATTTGATTATTAATTCCATTAATTTTTTTCTACTTTAGTTAGATTAATTTTTTATAATTTTAAAAGGGATGACAGAACCTGAAGTTTTTTTAATTGAATTGAATTTATTTATGGAATATTTAAGTATTGTTATCTCTTAACAACATTTAAAAAGTTTATATTAGACTTTGTAATAACTTAAAAATACATTATTTTTCTAAATGTCATTATTAACCTTTGAAATAAGAACTTTAAAAGGAAATGTAACCCATTTAGGCACGTGGAATAAAAGATGCTACAGAAATCATCTTTGAGATGTCAAAAGACGAAAGAAAAGATTTCTACAGGACTATAGCATGGGGTCTGAACCGGCCTTTGTTTGCAGTTTATAGAAGAGTGCTTCGCATGTATGATGACAGAAACCATGTGGGAAAGTATGAAAACTTGTAGTGCTGCATGTTATGTTAACTAAGGAGAATTTTTACAGAACTGGCCTTGTTTTTAATAGAATTATGATCGAAGGCCTTAGAGTCAGCTGTAAATTACTGTTTTATGTTAATAATTTTTTTCTTTTGCTAAAATCAAATTGGAAAATAACTGCATTTCTAAAAGCTATGCATGAAATTCTGTTAATAGGTAGCATTTATGGAAAGACACCATTAAGTTTCTGCAGTGCATGATGTTATTAAATATTCTGAATTCTTTGGAACTTTTAGTTGTACTAGTTATGGCTAAGGAGATACTGTTTAGTTACCAATGCTGCTTTTCTTCTAGCTGCTTAGCCTGCTAAAGAGTGCACATTTATAATCTGAATGGAATGGAATTAAACTGTTTTTATAGCAGTGGATAAAGGGCAAGGGGAGCTTGAATGCCTTGTTAACTATTCATAAGGCTTCCGTGCAGCACAAATGGTTGCAAAGTGAAGTGGTCTTTCAAAATTATTAAATGGGCATTCTTAAAAGAAGATTTAATTGACTGTACTGAGCACTTCTGAAAAAGAGCCTGTAGGTTAGATCAAGAATTTGTCAATGTCTTATCTACTGACAAGGAGAAGAATTTTAATTTTTGTAGTGCTATAAGAGAACTTAACATAGAAAATTTTCTTTTTAGCTCTGGCTTACAATATCATCCAGAAGACTTTAGGAGTAGCTGATATTAGAGTGCACTAACTTTATTTGGAAATTAAGGGAAGACTTAGGTAGCATAGAAGGAAGCACATTTGTTTTAAGTTTTCAATTTTCGGAGAGAAAATTATTCAGTGTTTACCTTTAAAATGATTAAATGTGTCAGTGGTTTTGCTTTCCTTTTAATAAAAGAAAACAAGCTTTTTAATTTTTACTAATTTTTAAATTAGTCAAATTTAATTTAAAAATTAAACTGGCTACTTAACAATTTGCTTTTTATTCAAAATTTTGACATCCCTTGTTCTAATTTGTCTTTTCAATTTTTTTCTCTAAATTTTTAGGTATACACCTGAAGAAATTGAAAAGCTCAAGGAGTAAGTTTTAAATTTTTCATTAACTCTTGATTTTGTGTTGGGGGCGGTTAGGGGTCTTAAGTTTTACTTAGAAATTTTCCAGAGCTTTCTGGTAGACCAGTATAATTTAATCTTGCTATTTATTAAGCACCACAGATTTTCTGTTACAAAGGGAACATACCAGATCCGTACCTTCATAGATTAGCTGTCCCATACATAATTCATAAATTTAGTCTCTTTTTGTCAGTTACCAGATTACTCCTTGGACCTTTAAAAGAGGTTTTAGAGAGATTTAATGGTCACTTTTGGTAGCCTGGAGACTAAACTGGGGGAATTTTATATGCCAGCATCTGAACCAGGCTGCACTACATGGTATAGATTAGAATGTTGACTGAGCAGGTGTTGCATCCTAGGAAAGGCTGTTGAATCTTGGGAGATAAATTTTTCTTGATTGAGTTAAGTTCATAAAGCATGGTTTAATGGATTGTGTGGATCGTGGAAAAAGTGAAGTTAGATCCTGTTTATTTTACGAACCTGTGAAACCTGTTCAGATGTCTGAAATCTGGGGTTTGCCTGGGAGATGATGTCAATAACCTGAGGGGAAATTTGGTCTTTTTTGAACACATATCCAAGTTATTTATTTCTTCTCTGACCCAGGAAAAAGGCAATTGCTGCCTGTTTTTTTTTTTTTCACCCACAGACAACTGTGGACCCCAAAAAAGGCCCACTTTCAAACTTTGGCTCTCAAAGTGTTGCTGCCCACAACTTCCAAAGCAGTCAAATGGGAAGAAGAAGAATGAAGAATAAATGATGAAATTAGAAGGGAGAAAACAGTTGAACCAAATGCTGATTGGCAGACTCTTGTTTTAGGCTCCGGATAAAGCATGGCAATGACTGGGCAACAATAGGGGCGGCACTAGGAAGAAGTGCATCTTCAGTCAAAGATCGCTGCCGACTGATGAAGGATACTTGCAATACAGGTACTGTGCGTGCTCCTGATACATTTTCTTACTGCTGTTTGAGCTTCCTGCCCAGTCAAATACCTGCCTTCTCCTCTGTTTTGGAAAGAAATCTGTTACTTTATTTTTGAATCTTTTTTAGAAACATAATAGATCCAACTAATCTTTTATTTCATCTTGCAATTTTGCATAAGTTGGCATCATTTTATAGGGACACATCTCAGTTTCAAAAGGATTTAGGTCTAGCATGTTACAGTCCTATATCAGTTCAAAACAATTTCATTGGAAAAGTACTTTTTAAGGTACACATAGAAGTAATTTTAATTTAGGCCCATTTATTGACAGCTTATCAGTTTATGTTTACGAAAAATGTTCCTTCTAGGCAGGACCCAACTTGGGAAGAAACTCTGTTCCAAAGTCCTCGGTGTGTTTGCATATTCCAAACTCAATACATTATAATAAAGGGAAAATGTTATGATTGGTGTTTCACCCCTTAACGCAGACCACAAATGGGTACTTAATTCTAGATGTACATAAATGTATTAAATCTAACCTTTGTGCCCTATAGCATATTTAGGATCTGTCACTCTTGCACCTTTTCTGGGACTCAGTTCCCTTTGGAAAATTAACCGGCTTGAATAGATGATCTCATAGTTAGTTCCTTTTTAGCCCTAATGTTCTGTGAAGAATCTACAGTCCATGCTTGGTCTTTCTGTAAGAAAAATAATTCTCAAGTTTAGCTTGAGTTTATAAAGGGAATACATTTTCTATTCCTCCACACCATCACTTCCACTGGCAAGTCATTGAGAACATAAGAGTAAATTCTGTCATTCTGTGGCCTGGCCAACACAATGAATGAAATAAGTTCATGTAAGTTGCTGCGAGTGCAAAACTACTTGTTAGCATAATTTGGAAGAATGTTGAGCCAGTCCCCTCTGCCCCCTCTCCACCCCCATGGCAACCTGAGGGATTGATCTTTCTTTCCATGGTGTTACATATTACTACTGATAATGACAGTTCCAAAGCTTTCCTCCCTTCCTTTCATATCCTGCTTGCTAGGAGAGCAGCAGAACTTTATGTTGAATCCTCAGTACCCAGAACTATGCATATAGTAGAGATTCAAAAAAACTTTGTTGAATGGATGAGTCCCTGAAGCAAGCACATAATCTTTTAAATTTTTTCTAGAAGGTTTTAGCTACTAATAGCATAATGGAAACAGAAGCAGTAAAGGTAAAAAAAAAGTTTCTCTTTCCCTTTCTGATTCTCTGCCGAAGAAAGACAAGGATTTTATTAGTGGGTTTATGGGTTCAGAAACACTAGGAATAAAAATTTGTTTGAATATACTAGTCTCATAGTTCACTAATATTTTATCACGGTAGCTTAGATTTGAGACAGTGGGCAGTGGGGAGTGTATAAACATGAATTACATGGGCGCATGTAAGTGTTATAGTCTACTTTGTTTCCCATTCATTCCTATAAATAAGCAGTTTGATTTATTCTGATGTATGTATGAGTTTCTGTGTCCTTGAAGCCATCAGTGAAGCTTTTCTCTGAGCTCACCAGCTGCTCCTCGGAGACATCATACAGGTTTGCTGTGGTTTGGAACCGACTTGATGACACTTAACAACAACAACATACTGTTGTTAAGTGCCGTTGAGTCAGTTTTGACTCATAGCAACCCTGTATAAGGATTTTGAGGAGTGCCTGGTGATTCAAATTGACACTGTAGTCCAGCACCACACCAGTACACATACAAACACTCACTTACTTACACACTCTATAGATAGATAGATAGGACTCAGTGTAACTTAAAAGTACATAATCCTGTCCAATTAGGTTTTGAGTATTTTTCTTTCCTTAAAAGAGTCAGTCAGTGTTTTCTATTAGGATTTTATCTTTTAAGAGCCTTACTGGGCTAATTAAATGTAATTATTATTGTAGATGCATTTGGTTTCTCACCACAGAGTCTCAAAATAAACTTTAATATTCTTATCAGTTCTTGGAAACATTGGGCTGAATTTGATTTGCAAAAGAAAAAGATAGCATTTGTAGTCTGGATGATTTCCTTTTTTCAGGGAAGTGGACAGAAGAGGAAGAAAAGAGACTTGCAGAGGTGGTTCATGAATTGACCAGCACTGAGCCAGGTGATATAGTCACACAGGGTGTGTCTTGGGCAGCTGTGGCTGAACGAGTAGGTACCCGCTCAGAAAAGCAATGTCGTTCTAAATGGCTCAACTACCTGAACTGGAAACAAAGTGGGGGTACTGAGTGGACCAAGGAAGATGAAATCAATCTCATCCTCAGGTTTGTGTCCTGGATTTTTAATGACAAAAGCTTCTTAATTGCTGCGTTGTCTTCACTAACTTCCCTCTCTGGAATTTCCTAGAACATCCTTTCTGTAGACAGCCCATTTAAGATCCTAAGGATTTCATATTGAGCTCTTTTTGTTTTGTGTTTGTTCCTTTTTAGTGGATTTAGTGCTCGTGCAAAGTACCAGATTGAAGGCGTGGAGACTGAAGTCCTCTCTAGATCCACAGAACAGGTATGGCACAGGAAGCGGCAGTGCAGCTTTTCCACTGTCCCACCAATGTGCCTCAGTCCTAGCCTAGGGGGAATGTGTTTAGGGCAAGAGGGTTATTCAGTCTCCATGCCCTTCAATCCGTGGCTACTATGCTAAGACTGCCAGGAACAGGGCTCAGTCCACTTAACCCACCCTTCAAACTAGACCAGTCATACCTTCTAGTCCATGTAAATCCAAAAATAGCTTTAAGATAATAACCTCAAGTTTATTTTTTAAATGAGTTGATTTAACCATTAAAGCTCAATAACTAAGATGGGCAAAAACCAACAAGAAATTAACCAAGACACTGAATGTTGTTAAGTGCTATCCAGTCAATTCCAACTATAGTGACCCTGTTTATGGTTTCTGAGGAGCAGCTGGTAGGTTTGAACCACCAATCATAGTCCAGTGCCACACCAGAAGTCTTGTTAAACAAGTGGACTTTTAGAACCCCAAACTTAGTTCCATGATTGGTTGTTTTGGTTGCTGCTGGAATGTGTGTTTTTTGTATCAGTTCAGTTTGAATTTTGTTTTTGGCATGGTTTGTTTCAACTAGTCATCTTAATAAATAGCTCATTCCTGAAAACATTGGTTCATTTTATGAACAGAAAAACTTAGAACCAGGAAATAACTGAGAGTAAAAGTCTTAACTGCAGAATGCAATACAACACAACCTCTTCTTACCCATTGCTAACCTCCCACTGCTCCCTTTCTTTCACAGAGCTTCACCTGGTTGTAATCATTTATAGTTCTGCCCACTAGTTGTGTGTTTAATAAAAAGCTATTGCTGGTGTTAATTCTTCTGGTTGTGGGTCTAAGTTCTTGGAATCCTTTTCCGTGCAACTTAAAGTAGCATTTCATAATATGCAAGTTCCCTTTATAGCTAGTGTAATTATCTGTAGTCAGAGGAGGTTTGTTATGATTAAAATAAATCACATCTAACATGCTTCTTTTATAATTTGTAGGATAGCAGAGCTTGATGTAGCTGATGAGAATGATATAAACTGGGATCTACTAGCTGAGGGATGGAGCAGTGTCCGCTCACCACAATGGCTTCGAAGTAAATGGTGGACCATCAAAAGGCAGATTGCAAACCACAAGGATGTTTCGTTCCCTGGTAATGTATTATTATCTGGTTTTAAAGTCTTTCCTTCTTAGAAAACAGGTGATGTGGTTTATAATTCCAAAATCACACACATATATATATCCATATCCTCTTCATATGAACTTAAAGAGGAAGTAAGAGTTTACGTACATATTCGTATCTTGTCCAAAAGTGTATTATTTAATGAAATGATTATATTTATGAGGGGGCTTCCAAAAGTTCATAGGAAAATTCCTTTATTTTTTAATTTCTTAAATTTTTCATTTCGTTTTTCCATGAACTTTTGACGATTCCTCATATTTTATGAAGAGTATAATTCCTAATCTTAAATTCTTAGAGATACTAAAATTGAATTTGATTAAAGAGAGGGATAGCATTTACCTTGATAGAAATTGAATAAAACACTCGATTTATAGATTTATAAATCTGATGGTAAAACCAGAAGGGTGAATGACTACTAATGTAGCATGAACCTACCTAGTTTGCAGCTTCAAGTGAGAGGATAGCACAACTTACTATGAATCAACTAAGGCACACTCATTCTATATGAGAACTTGGTGGTGGTGGCTTTCAAATATTATGTTATTTTGATATTGTATCCAGTATACAATTATTTATTCCAAATACTTTCCCTCTTTACGCCTTCCCCCATGCTACTTAGATGGTGGTCTGTTGAAGAATCAAATGTTCTTTTTGTCTACCCATCTCCCTTCAGTCTTAATAAAAGGTCTTAAACAGTTACATGAGAACCAAAAAAACAACCCAACGCTTTTGGAGAATAAATCAGGATCTGGAGTTCCAACCAGTAATTCCAACGCCAGTGTACAGCATGTTCAGATCAGAGTCGCCCGCTTGGAAGAAAATACAGCTATCTCTCCAAGCCCCATGACGGCCCTGCAGATTCCAGTACAGATCACTCATGTTTGTAAGTGTCTGAACCACAGGAATCCTCGCTATTTATTGATATATTACACATTTGTGATGACCCTTGACACTTTTTCTTCTAGAATGTTGATAGATGTACAGAAACTGATGCGTTAAAAAAGATCTACAATATCATATGTTTAGCTCAATATTTGCCTAAAGGACACGTAATAGGAAGATTTTATAAGCTAATTCCCATCTGTTTTCTAGATTTTATAAAGAATTAATGATTAATACAAAACTACCTAAAATACAGTCCATTAAGCAAGGAAATAGACCTCACACAGTGGCAGGTCATTTATACCAATCACCAGAAGACTCACAAATTGGGAACGGATGTTTAAAAAGATTTTCTTGAGTAAGAAAATTCCAGTTTCCTCCTAGGAACACCCATTTTTGTTAGCTTCTTTGGCATTTTTGTGCTTAATGAGATTATGTTGTTGTTAGGTGCCATTGAGTCGGTACCGACCCATAGCAACCTTATGCACAGCAGAACGAAACACTGCACGATCCTGGGCCAACCTCACTACTGTTGCCACGCTTGAGTCCACAGTTGCTGCCACTTGGCCAGACCACCTTGTTGAGGTGAATCTGGCAATTGTTATAAGTAGGAAAATTGCCTTCCTCTAGTATCTAAGCCAATCAGATTTTTTTGCTTTTCTTTCAATTAGTCTTCATTATAGTATCAGAAAGGGTGTGGTGTGATGTGTCATGATTCTGACTTGTAGCAAACACTGTACAGGGTTTTGAAGGCTGTAAATCTTTACGGGAGCAGAAAGCCCCTTTTTCCCACAGAATAGCTGGTGATTTCGAACTGCTGACCTTGAGGTTAGCCACTTGATTGGTAACCACTATGATACCAGAGCACTTTAGAAAGGGAATTAAGAGAATGAAATTCTAAGACCCATGTTATTCTTCTCTTTATCTCACTTGTATTTTTTTCTGTCTACGAATTGTTCTTGATAAGTGCCGTAGATTTGGTTCTAATACGTAACAACCCTGTATATATAGGGTTTCCAGGAAGCAAAGTACCATTGAGTCAGTTCTGACTCAGAGTGGCTGATAAGCTTGAACCGCTGACCTTGCAGTTCAAACTTTGCAGTCAGCGCATTAACCCACAGCACCACATCAGGACTCCACATTGTTCCTTGACTGTGAAAAAGTTATTCATTGCCCAGGAGTATACCCGTACTCTTACTCTAATTGAGGTCTTACTGGCATTTGGGGCACTGTTCTGCACCTTGACCTTACTCACAAAACACCAGTAGTGTCCTCCAGTCATTATGACAATAAGAAAGGCCCCATGCATTTCCAAATGTACCTTGTGCCATGTTATTGCCACCTCTGATTAGAAATCACTGAGAGCCACCTATCGGTATAATTAGCTGCTCTGCAGGAGAAAGATGAGGCTTTCTGCTCTGTAAAGATTTACAGCCTTGGAAACCCTGTTCAGGGTCGCTATGGGTCGAAACCGACTCGATCGCACTTAACAACAACAGCTGTATATGCAGTGGTTGTTAAGAGTACTTTGTTGTTGTTTTAAGTGCCATCCAGTCGATTCCAACCCATAGCGACCCTGTATAGGGTTTCCAAGGAGCAGCTGGTGAGCTTGAACCACTGACTTTGCAATTAGATGCATGATTCCACAGCGCCACAACAGGAATTAAAATTGATTATACATGGTTTATTCTCAACATTCTAATTTAAATTTGCTTTATCTTTCTACCAGTGTAATAAAATATGAACTTGTTTTGTTTAGCCTTGTTTCTGTGTTTTATCTTGTGAGAATTGCAAATCAACTGAAATTGCTAGATAATGTAAATATGAAAGCTACTCTTGGCTGTGAGCTACTCTTGGAAGACAACTGTTTGGCCGACTGATTGGAAGAGATCAATGTTTGTGCCCATTCCAAAGAGAGGTGACCCAACAGAAGGCGGAAATCATCAGACAATCTCTTTGATATCTCAAGCGAGTAAAGTTTTGCTAAAGGTAATACAGAAACGGCTACAATCATACATTGACAGAGAACTTCCAGAGGTTCAAGCTGGATTCAGAAGAGGCTGTGGAACGAGAGATATCATTGCTGATGTCTGATGGATCTTGGCTGAAAGCAGAGAATATCAGAGGATGTTTACCTGTGCTTTATTGACTACACAAAGGCTTTCGATTGTGTGGATCATGACAAGCTATGGACAACATTGAGAAGTATGAGTATTCCAGAACACTTAATTGTACTTCTGAGAAATCTGTACCTAGACCAAGAAGCAGTTGTTCGAACACAACATGGGAACACTGAATGTTTTAAAATTGGGAAAGGTGTGAGACAGGGTTGTATTCTTTCACCATACTTATTCAACCTGTATGCTGAGCAAATAATATGAGAAGCTGGGTTCTATGAAGAAAAACGTGGCATCAGGATTGAAGGAAGACTCATTAACAACCTGTGATGTGCAGATGATACAACCTTGATCGCTGAAAGTGAAGAGGACTTGAAACATTTACTTATGAAGATCAAAGAGTACAGCCTTCGATATGGATTACATCTCAATGTCAAGAAAACAAAAATCCTCACCACTGGACCAGTAAACAACATTCTTATCAATGGAGTAAAGATTGAAGTTGTCAAGGACTTCATTCTTCTTGGATCAACTATCAACACTCACGGAAGTAGCAGTCAAGAGATCAGACGACGTATTGCACTGGGCAAATCTGCTGCACAGGAACTTTTTAAAGTATTGAAGAGCAGAGATGTCAGCTTGAGGACTAATGTGCGCCTGACCCAGGCCATTTTGTGTTTTCATTTCAATAGCCTCATATGGATGCGAAAGCTGGACAGTAACTAAGGAAGATCGTAGACGAATTGATGCCTTTGAGTTGTGGTGTTGGAGAATACCGAAAGTGCCATGGACTGCCAAAAGAACCAATAGATCTGTTTTGGAAGAAGTATAGCCAGAGTGCACCTTGGAGGCCAGGATGGCTAAGCTTTGTCTCTCCTACTTAGGACATATTGTCCGGAGGAAACAATCGTTGGAGAAGGATGTCATGCTGGGTAAGGTGGAGGGTCGGAGAAAGAGAGGAAGACCCCCAATGAGATGGATCAGCCAGGTGGCATCATTGATGGACTCAAGTGTGGCAGTGGTAGTGAGGTTGGCCCAGGATCGGGCATTGTTTCATTCTGCTCTGCATGGGGTCGCTATGGGTCGGTTCCAACTCGATGGCACCTGACCTTGGCTGTGAACTGATTTGTACTGGAAACTTCGTTTTGAGTAGACAGTTCTTGTTGGGAAGAAAGCAGATATTTTGTACCAGTATCTTATATTCCTATCAGTCATTTAAAGTAGTACTTAGAATAACTTTATTTCTTCCAATAAGAATTAGGAGTAGAATAAGAATTTTACAACCCACTATCACTCCTCACATTATCTCTGGTAGCATAGGGGTTACTTATGAATTGGGCTGCGAACCTTTAGGTCAGCAGCTCGAAACTACCAGCTGTTCCGTGGGAGAAAGATGAGGATTTCTGCTCCCAAAAAGATTTACAGCCTCAGAAACCCTGTACAGGGTTACTGAGTCAGAACTAACTCCACGGCACATAGCAACAACATCATTCCTAACATAACTAAAATCTCTTAATTGTGTATCGTCTTTCAGCATATAGTAATTGTATATTCAGCAAATGTTTTCAGGCCCCAAAAGATCTTTCAGAATACCATTTTGGCTGTTGTTGTTTTTGCTTTATTGATAACCCTCAATTAGCAGCCAAGCATTTAACTATTGATGGGACCATCAGGACTCCTTTTAGAAATCCAAACACAAAACATTCTTAGTCGTGGTCACATTTATTACTCATTCATATTCATGATTTAGGTTTTGTATTTGGAATCATATCAAATTATTCTGGGTTAGATCTTCAAGAATCCATCAAATAGAAATGACATGAATCAAGTGCATTTCTGTTGGTAAGGATTTCATATTCTTTTCAAATAACTGAATATTGTAGTTAGAAAACATAGTAAACTAAACATGTAAAATAATTATTTTACATTTACTACAGATGTCATGGGAAGTACCAAAAGAGTTCACGGTTCTTTTTAGTTCTATATAACCTTGAGCAGAGGCTGTTCAAGAGTAAGCCTAAGTTGACACACATATAAAAGATGAGACCATCTGAGCTCTTAAGTGTTGTTCAGACTCCCAAATGAAGTTCTTTAAAATAATTCTGTGTACTGTGCATTCATGTTTCTAAAGCACTTTTTCGATCCTCACAATAACTCTGTGAGGGAGGTAGTAAGGAAAGGTAAAATCTCAGTAATTTAGCTTTGATGAAATTCTTTGCTCAGGTTTTCATTGCTAGGACATGATGTAACTAGAGTTTTGGTACTCACATACCAGATACCTGTATTATTTACCAGAATGTCCAGGAAACTTTTGTTGTTGGTGTTTGTTTTTTTCTTTTCCCAAGATCTTGCAGGTTTAGTCTTAGTGTATGAATTATCCAGAAGTTGGCAGATCTTTTCTGTAAGGGGCCACATACTACTAAATATTTTAGGATTTTTAGGCCATATATGGTCTCTTTGTACCATTGTATTTATTATTAAAGCAACCCTAGTACAGAAATGTATGAATATGGCCATATTCTAGTAATACTATAATTTGTAGACCCCTGATTCATACCATGCCAGGTAAATTCATTAGTGTTTCTTGTCATTCTGACTTAAAAGGCTTAAATGACTTCAAGTTTCCAAACAAATTACCCAGTATGAGACTGCCTTCATGATAAATCTGTGTTTTAATTGAGCACACTGGAGAAATTTAAATTTGCAAAAAGTGTTTCTTTGTCCTTGTTTTTTACCACAGCTTCAACAGACTCCCCTGCTGCTACTGTTGACTCAGAAACCATAACACTAAACAGTGGAACACTACAAACATTTGAGATTCTCCCAGTGAGTAATCAAGTTGATTTGGGTCATTTTTGTGCAGAAGAAAAATCCATTTGAAATAATTTTTAGAAATGCTATCATGAGTTTGAAAGCCAGATTGTTTGGAAGACTAGACATAAATCGAACTTCTACCTTATAATTAACAAACTAATTAACAAACCAATAATACACTCTGTCATGTATGAAAATGAATTTGCTAATATGTAGGTTGTGCCTTCAAGTCATAGTGACCCATAGCAGTTCTAAACCACAGTGACCCTATGTAGGGTTTCCAAGGAGTGGCTGGTGAGCTTGAACCGCTGGCTTTGTGGTTCAAACTGTCCTTGCAGTCCAGTGCATTAACCCTCAGCAACATATCAGCATACTATCAATTTGTTGAATCATAAATTTATAGCCAATTTAATTTCATGTTGGCTTGGACAAATTTATGAGTTATTAAACAATGTTAATTCAGTAAAATGTTCTAGTCACTGGGGATACAAAATGTAAACCTTCCAGTCCTCACTATGAATGGAAAAGCAGTTTGGGAGGTCCTGAAAAGGCTTAAACGTAGCATTACCATATGACCCAGCAGTTCCATTCTCAAGAATTCAATCCCAGGTATAAATCCAAGAGAAATGAAAACATGTGTTCATGCAAAAACTTGTGCATGAATGTACACATACTGTCAGTTCACCAGCTTTCAAAAAAAAAAAAAATCTTTTTCCTTCAGCTGAGTGTTGCTAACGCTATGTTTTCATTTAAATAATTCTCAACTAAGTAAACACTGCTGGTTGTGCCTTTTCAGAAATATGAAACTTTTGTTGCTAAATGAAAGATTACCGAGACGGGATAAAGAGGGAAGATGGGGTTGCTGGGCTACTGCACTTGAAGCTGTGGCTCAGGTGACTGCCATACCATAATGCCCTAAAAGAGACAGGCTGGAGCCAGACTACAGTAATGCTCAGGAGTTGAAGAGTGAGATAAATGCCGAGTGTCTGCTAAACGATAAAACTGAGTACTGAATTAATATCTTTTAGAATGTCCCTGTGTTAGTACAAATGATTTGTGCTTAGATAAAGAATTAGACCGCAGTGTCAGTTTGAACCACAAGATCAGTGGTTCAAACTCACCAGCCGTTCCTAGGAAACCCTATACAGGGTCGCTATGAGTTGGGACCGACTTGATGGTACTTAACAACAGCAACACCAACTAACCAAAGATTGGCAGTTTAAACCCACCCAGTGATGCTAAGGAAGAAAAGCCTGGTAAGGTGCTTACCCTATGGAGTTGGAATCAACCTAAGTTGAAATCCACTCATCAGCACTAGGTTTTGATTTTGGGTGTAAAGCTAGATTAATCAGTAGTGTTAAACTACCTTGTTTTCGTTTTTCTTTTAGTCTTTTCATTTACAGCCTACTGGCACTCCAGGTACCTATCTACTTCAGACAGGCTCAAGTCAAGGCCTGCCCCTAACGCTGACCGCTAGTCCCACAGTAACCCTGACAGCTGCTGCTCCTGCTTCTCCCGAACAGATCATCGTCCATGCTTTATCTGTATGTTACATTGCAAAAATTCCTTGATTTTTCTGATTTTTGTAATAGATTGGCTAACCAATGTGTCATTAGATTTTTTTTTTTTTCTAGTACTTGTAATACTGTAGACTCTGTATGCTTTCAATAGCAGTATCTCTAGTAGAGAAGTAGATTTTGAGCTTGATTCAAGTATTTGAATACCTATTAGGGACCAGGATTTGTTGATCCAAAATTATTAACTGGACTACCTTACAATTCAATTCTTACTACTGCTGCTGTTTCAGAAAGTTTTACGCCATCACTTTCACCTTCACTGGGGTATATCCCTCACCCCACGTCTCCTGATATGAGATGAATTTACATTGTAGATAGAGCAAGGATTTCAGTGAGTAAATGAAAGAGGTTATTAAAAAAAAAAAAAAAGTGATTCAAAGATTGCAGACTCAGGTGAGGGAGATACTGGAAGACCCCTTGTAAATGTCATTTATTGTCTATAAGTTACAGCCAGTAGTTAATTTTTTTACTTTGCTATTAATAGTTTTCTTTAATGTTTTGTAGCCAGAACATTTGTTGAACACAAGTGAGAACGTCACAGTGCAGTGTCACACACCAAGAGTCATCATCCAGACTGTTGCCACAGAGGACATCACTTCTTCCATTTCCCAGGCAGAATTGACAGTAGATAGTGACATTCAATCAGCTGATTTTCCTGAGCCTCCAGATGCTCTAGAAGCAGACACTTTCCCAGATGAAATCCATCAGCCTAAAATGATTGTAGAGCCATCATTTAATGATGCCCATATATCCAAATTCAGTGACCAAAATAGCACAGAACTGATGAATAGTGTTATGGTCAGAACAGAAGAAATCTCTGACACTGACCTTAAACAAGAAGACGAATCCCCCTCTGACTTAGCCAGTTCTTATGTCACTGAGGTAAGTTGTGCCCTGGTGGGTTCCTTTCTTGAGCTTAAAACCTGCAGTAAAGTGCCAGCCCCTACTTCACATGTATCAACCAGCAGTGTCATTGGTAGCAAAGACATCTTTTAGCAGTCAAGAGTAATAAGAAAGCCATGTCCTTTCTCACCATGGCGTCTCACTAAAACCTTTCTCGTCTACATCTTCAACAGATTGAGAAAAGCTTATTGGAATGTTTTCTTAAGGGTGTTAAATCTTTTAAGTGTTTTAAGGTTTCTTTTTGCTAATGTTTGGTACATTAGATTATAGGGTCTAATTAGGCTATAGCTTTAATTTCTTCATACTCTAAAGATGGGATATTGTTTTTTAATTAAATCAAATCATACCAAACCTGGAAGTGCTTGGGGTATGAGTCAATCTTTTTCCCCCCCTCCCCCGCTTAACTTTGCTCTAGGATTTAGAGTCTTCTGCCATAGAAGAACAAGTTGATCAAACAATTGATGATGAAACAATACTTATTGTACCTTCAGCACACGGCTTTATCCAGGCATCTGATGTTCTAGATTCTGTCTTGCCTTTGACAGCACTAACAGGTACTGTAGCACAAGCCTTCATGTGCCTGATACATCTTTAAGAGAAAAATCAGGCAATCAGATTTAATTCAGTGGTTTGAGTCTTTCATGATCTAACAATGATATTAATATTACTGGTTAAATTCTACAGTTTAGTAGAAGAGTGATTAAGTTCTTGACATAGAAGATGCATACATATATTTAGACTATGCATACATATATTTAAGACTAACTTGTACTTTATAACTTACTACAGATCCCATATTCCAACATCATCGAGACGAGTCAAATATCATTGAATCATCTTTGTGCAGTCCTGTTTCAGAAGACTCAAAGGATGTAGAGGACTTGGTAAACTGTCATTAGGTAATGCATAGAAACAGGGTAATTTAAGCAAAGAAGCCACGCTGTTAATTACAACATCTCCAAAGAAATAGGAGCAACCTTCCTTCCCCCTGTCCCCCCCAACGAGGCTTAATTTACCATTTTTCTAGCTTTCAAATATCTATAGTGCTTAAATCATGCACATTGTTGCTGCTATAACTTTTTACCTCCTTTGAGTTAATCACCTGAGGCCCAGTTTTTAACTGTAGTTCTGGAGTATGGGGGGTTTTAACTGTGTAGACACTCTGTTTAGTGTTGTCAGCAGGGAATTTCATTCATTTCAGCTACTGCAGAAGGTTTAAAAGCACCAAAGTTTAACTACTCTGGTTTAAATGGTTTAAAAGCAGTAGTAGTCATCTCTCAAGATCAAACATGGTTCTCTATCCAGTAGGCTTGGTTATATTCCAGAGATCATACCAATATGGTCTACAGCTTTTCAGTGGCCTTTAAAAAGATTAAGTTTGAGACTTGACCAGCAAAAGAGACCTAAGAGGTGTACTTTGGATTTACCCATTGCTGGCAGTGGGAGTGAGTTAGGCAGGGTAAAGAGGAAAGCATTAAAAAAATTAAGTCACTACAAGTTTTTTTAAAAAAAATACTTTTAAAGGGAATAAGAGGATAAGAGAAGTAACAAAACCCACCAAAAGCTAAGCAGACTTTTCACCCCTCAGAAACCACTGTCATCAGTTTACAAAGTTGTTAGCACTTTGAAGTAAAATTATACTAACTGAAAGAGGTGGTATAATGTTGCTTACTCTTGTAACCATGAGTGTTTATTACATGTTTTACTATGTAAATTACCCAGAAAATAGTTGGGAAAGTGTGTATAATGGTGTGCCATTCATCGGTGCATTAGCTGGTGGGTACTGTATAACTTCTCTTTCTCAGGCAATTTAAAACAAAACAATAAAATTTACTTCTGTAATAAAAGGAAACAAACCAAGAGTCATTCCTATACTAGAGAAGGTTTTAGCCATTAGCCTCTATAGAAAGTCACAAAAATCCTTGTATAAATTATTTTATTTATTATTGTAATTAGATCTTCACAATCAAAGTTGTCTTTTTACCATCTGTGTTTTGTTAACGTGAAATAAAATTGTAGTTATAAGCAAAGTTGGTTGCATAGGGAACAATTGTATATTCAGTTTAACAGAAATAAAAGAATATTTGTCTTAAAATGCAAGAGTTTGTTTGTTACATAGCATTTTCACCATGCAGTTATAAAAAATTTAATTTCAAAAGTGAAAATTGCTGTGCTGCTTGAACTTTTAAGAGTTGGAATGTTTAAGCTTCCTAAAGAAAAAGCAGTGATGTATGATACGTATTGTCTCCCCTGCAAAAGGGAATTTAGATTTATAATTAACATGAAAATCATGTACCAGACTCCTGTAGGAGATTCTTCAGCATACCTTATCCAGCTCTATTCACAGTCCTACTGTACAGCTCTGAAGAGTCCTGGTAAGTATTTGTCCTTGGTAGCCTCACTTTCCCACGTCATGGAAATACAGGTTTGCACATATACATAGCATAATGATAGAAAATATGATATAGTAAATTAGATTTCTAAATTTCGGTTCTAAGTCTCCTTGTCGATACCAGTAGATCTAAAAGAAGAAGAATTAAATAAAACTGTTAAGTAACAGCCACAGAGCTAAATATTAAAATTTTAAATGCAACTAGCTTTTTTCATTGTGATCAGTTCTATTCCGTATACACCTGTTCGTAAGCTTAGTATCTCATTATCTAACTTTTCACATTTATGACAATAAAATCAAACTTATTGCCATCGAGTCAGTGCCAACTCATTGAGATACTGTAGAGTGTTTCTGAGGCGATAAATCCTCACTCTCCCTCAGTGCAGCTGGTGAGTTTGAACTACTGACATTACAGTTAGCAGTCCAGTACTTTGCTTACCATGCCAATAGAGCTACTACAAATGCCAAGGTGTTCTGTGAGAGTAATGGTTAAGATTGTTTTTCATTTTGGCTGGGCTATGATTCTCAGTAATTTGGCAATTGTAATAATCCTCCATTGTCACATAATGCTGATTCTGCATAACGAACGACCTGGTCTTCAGCATCGTAACTCTTAAGTATAATGTAGCCATAATTCTTATTCTTTGTCATTTAAATAGTACTCATGAGTTTCCAAGAGTCCTGCTGTAGGATAAGCTCTCAACTTCTAACTGCAAGGTTGACGGTTCAAACCCACCAGCCGCTCCTCGGAAACCCTATACAGGATTGCTATGAGTTGGAATCTATTGATAGCGCAAAGGAGGAGTTTCCATATCCAAGATTTTAATTACTCCTGGTTCTCAGCTGACTTCTATTCATACCTATAGACTATCTTGTGTACCAATCATGTGGCAGGGACATATTAATATAAGTAAAAGATACAAGGGAGGGTAATTAAATCATATAATTGCGTCAAATTACCAACAAAAATAAGGATTATATAATTAATGCATACTGGTTTAAATGAGCTCATTGTTAGTCTTTGTAAGGTATGGGTGGGAGGAAACAGGGAAGTATCTTCTAGCTTTGTTTTAGAGGCTCCCTCAGGTCCTAGGAGTATAGCAAATCTGCGAATTAGAATAAGTGGATGCATATGTCCACTAGTTACATTTTAACTTAGACAAGCAGATTTATCTATAAATCAAAACCTATTAAAGGTTTAGACTTTCGAATCTGCCTCTCAAAGGAAATGAAATAGTCAGGAACAGATGAACACTTGGCGAATAATTGAGACTCCACTGCTATTTATGACAAATTGAGTATTCTTGTGACAAGGATTCATCTGTAGCTTTAGCTTCTGTAAGGTTTGGTTACCTGTACCTTGGGAGATAATCAGCACAGAGACTAAAATGATTTTATAGTTACTAGAAATATACTGAGTGTCCCCTCACTTCATCTAAGAGCATATATCTTCATTTTCCAAGGCTTGTTGGGCCCTGAATATGTAATTCTTGAATGAGGCTGAACTAAGTTTAAATTGTATCAAATCTTTGGTCACCTACAGTTACTTTAGCTACTTTTTAGCTATCAAACTATCCCCCTTGGGATTACAACGTTAGGATTGGGGGGGGGGGGGGGGGGGAGTGGCATGATAAGAGATTAAGACTATTAACACCCATCAGGGGTTGGTAATTTGAGCTATTTCCTTTCCTTTATGCTGCATACCTAGTACTGGGAATCTATTTTAAGCACATGCAACTTAAAGCCTTCAAGGAATACTCTGTTTAAATTCTAAATCGTACTCACAAGTATGCAGGCAGTAATACTACTCAAAGAGATGCAGACAGCAAAAAATATATTCAATGGTTTGGGAGGTAGTTGAGGGAAAACAAAAGCACTGATCAGCGTTACCTGTACAAAGAGAAATTATATAAAACCTTAAGAGTAATCTCAAGATTTAGTTTGATAATAAAAACACTAAAAAATGCTTTCACAATGTAAAATTATACCTATTGCAAGGTTTGCTTCCTAGAATGTTAATAAAATACTTAATAAATTTGCTTGATTATTTCTTTTCTCCCTTTCCAAGCTTAAAGAGACAGAATTTACAGTAGTAAAACTAGCTAATGTAAAAGTAACCTCTCTTCACTGAGGAAGACTAGAAATGGTTTACTTTCCCCAGGATTAATGATTATACTAGGAAAAGCTCTATTTTGTTACTTTGTGAATGGTACTAAAAAAATCAATATAACCAAAGTTGATTTTTGTGTAGCATTTTGTAAGATATTTAAAGGTAGGTTGTTAATATGCAAATAGTTCTCAATTTCTACCAGAATACATGGTTAACTAAAATTCTCTTAACAAAATGAGAAACTGCCAAAATGTACCTCTCAGAAAATACCGGTTTTTTATTTTATTGTGATAGCATCCAGCTGTATCCAAGATGAAAAATTACTATACACAGTCCATAATCTTTTAAAACCTAGCTAAAGGATAATTTTGTTTATGAAAACAAAATTAAGACATTAGTAGAAATGAGAAAGGCTGCAGGGAGGAGTCAGGCTGTAACAGAACACAGTTGCTGGTAACCATAGACATAAATTTACTTGGCAAGCAAATGTGGCTTGCGCATTCATCTGCAAACCCAGCTGTCAATTGTATGTATTGGACTGAAGAGTGGAAGTAGGATTAAGATTGTTACTCCAATTGCAGTTTTGTTTGAGTGGTACTAAAAGTTGATTTAACTGCAGAACACGTCATATGCTTGTTGGCTCCTTTTTTTTTTTTTTTCCCCAAACTTTACAATGAAGTTTTCAAAACTTTGGCTACAAGTCTAGGGAAAACACAAAATATACTTACTAAAATCAGTAAGGATGTTAAACTGCCGACAACTAAATTGATGATCCGATCCTAAAAGAAAAAAGAATTTTTGAGCTTTATGACTTGCATTCACGGTACATTCAGGACACTACAATGCTAGACACAGGTGATTGGAAAAGAAGAGACCAACATCTTGAGCTTTACACATACAAATGCAAGACAAGCAAAGGCATACTGAGTAGTTAAGAGTGGTAAAGGTACTTTGAGAAGGCAGAGGAACAAATGAGAAAGATTTCCTGTAAAGGACAAGATGTTTACAGAAAAGTCTTTGGACAGAGGGGCTGGGTGAGCCATGTCAGAACCTTGGTGTAAAGCTATCAGGAACCAGACTAGATGAGATTGAGCAGGATTTTGAGGGCATTTTAGCTGCTGTAGAATAAGCACAAGGTCAATAGTTCAAACCCCATCTGCTTTGCAGGAGAAAAATGAGACTGACTACTCCTGTAAAGATTTGCAACCTTGGAAATCGTACACAGGGTCACTATGAGAGTCGACTCAAAGGCAGTGGGTATAATATAGGGAATAACTCATTTCTCATTTCTCCAGCTGAAAGGAATGGAAAACTTCAAGTCTCAAATTGCAATACTGACAGATATGGACAAAAATATTGAACAACACAGAAGAATCAAAACAAAGATTACAAAGTCACTGCCAACAGAACTGGTCAACAGTCATTTCCGGAGATAGCACAAATACATTGGCAAGGACTCCAGGAATTGACAGAATACCAATTGAAATGTTTCAACAAATTTACGCAGGTAGGGTATTTAGTGTTAGATGCAGTCGTGTCGGTTCCAAGTCATAGCGACCCTGTATAGGGTCTCCAAGGAGCAACTGGTGAGTTTGAACCACCAACCTTGTGGTCCAGTGCTTTATCCCACCGTACTACACCAGAACTCGTTCATCTATGCCAAGAAATTTGGAAGGCAGTTAGTTGGCCAACTGACAAATTCATATTCTAGCCCATTCTAAAGAATGCAGAAGTTATTAAATTGAAGATAACTGGAAAACATTTGCAACAGTACATTGGCAGGGAACTGTCAGAAGTTAAAGCTGAATTCAGAAGAGGACACTGGATTGAGGATATCATGACTGAAAGGTAACTTCAGTAAGAATGGGAATTCCAGAACACCTGTACATAGACTAAGGGAATTAATTGTTCAAACAGAGCAAAGGGATGCTGTGTGGTTTTAAAAAAGGAAAGCTGTTTTAGGGTTGTATCATTTCACCATTCTTAATCTGTATGCTGAACAAATAATTCAAAAAGCTGGACTGTATGAAAGAGAACAAGATATGAGGATTGGAGGAAGATTAAGAACAACCTGCAATGTGCATATGACACACTTGACTTGGAGAACTTGAAGCACTCACTAATGAAGATCAAAGACTGCAGCCTCCAATATAGGTTACATTTGAACCTAAAAGAAAAATCCTCCCAACTAGATCAATTAGAAACACAAATATACCAAAGATTGAAGTTTTAACAAGGATTTCATTTTATTTTCATCTGTAGTCAATACCTATGGAAGTAGCATTGAGCAAATCTGCTACAAAAGATCTCCTTAAAGTGTTAAAAGCAAAGGTGTCACTGAAAATTTGGGTGTATCTGACCCAAGCCACAGTAATTTCATTCATTTTTATGAAGCCCTGGTGTGACACTGTAGGGTAAGCACTGGACTGCAAGGTCGATTTGAACCACCGGGGCCTGTCGTCAAACCCACTGATTGCTCCTTGGAAAGCCTACACAGGATTGCTATGACTCAATGGCACTTAATGCTAAAAATGGATAATGAATAAGTAAGGCTGAAGAATTGATGTCTTTGAATTATGGGGTTGGCAAAGAATACTGAATGTACTATGGACTGCCAGAAGAATTAACAGATCTGATTTGGAAGAAGTACAGCCATCATGCTCTTACAAAAAGGATGATGTGACTTTATCTTATATATTTTGAACGTATATCATCAGGAGGTACCAGTGCTTGGAGAAGGGCAGCATGTTTGGTGAAGTGAGAATCAGAAAAAAGAGGAAGCCCCTCAAGGAGTTGAATGACATGACATGCTGGCTCCAGCAATGGAAATAGCAGGCAGGGCAGTGTTTGATTTTGTTGTACGTAGGTAACGGTCACTGTGAGTAGAACCAACTCAACATCACATGCATGGTACTACTTAGGTCTCCTTATCTACTGTCATCTAAAAGTAGATCGTATTACCAGAAGGGATCATAAAAAGGCTATCTTAAAAGGTCACTGAGCTGCGTGGTTTTCCAACCTATTTAATAGCAAAACCCAATACATAAGTAGAATAATTTACATGAAGGTCCAGGAGTCTCATCCATTGAGTTTCCTTGTCACTCCCACCCCTACTCCAATTCCACATAATTTTTAAAACAACTTTGATATAACCCAATTCTAATTTTACAGGTTAAGGTAAATTTAGACCTGATGTGGGATTATATTATGTAGCAAGTTACTAACTTGAAACCCCAGCATTCAAAAAACCTAGGTAACTGGTTATGTGTCGTTTCAGGTGGTTTTCACGTGCCTTCAAATTGGTTCCAACTCTGACCTAGGGTTGTCTAAGGAGTGGCTCCTGGGTTTGAACCACTGACCCATAGTTAGCAGTCCAATGCTACAGTGCCACACCAGAACTCCCAGTTGTTGTTATGTGCTGTGGAGTTGGTTCCGACTCAGCGACCCTGGACAGGGTTTCCGAGGCTATAAATCTTTATGGGAGCAGAACGCCTCATCTTTCTCCCTCGGAACAGCTGGTAGTTTCGAACTGCTGACCTTGTGGTTCGCAGCCCAATTCGTAACCACTACGCTACCAGGACTCCCAGTAGAGGGACTACAAACTTTTAAAAGATTAGGTTGACAAGGTAATCTGCAGAAATTAGAGTGAGAGGATTTAAAACCTGATTAGCAAACATGATGCCAATGAGAATAGTTTAGCTAATTGTCTTAATTCTGGGAAGTCAAAGTTGAGTCTTTAATGAATCAATTTTGGAAGACTGTTTTTGGTAACATCTGGGCAGAGAATGACAGGATATGGAATGGGAGCAGCAAATAAAACCTCAGAGAGGAAGCACAGAGAACAGCAATGAGCCTCATTTCCAGTTTGTCCATTTTTAATTAGAAGAATCAGGCAGGTAGAGCTAGGTAGGAAAAGTGCAGGAAAGCAAAGAATTAGAAGTGACTGATTTAACAAAAGATAAACCACAACTTGGCAAGCAAAAGACCAGTGCAATTCAAAGGTTACAGGTCCAAGGAACTATTTCAGCCACACCCATACTAAGTTTAGAGAACTCAGATCTTACCACCACCTCAGCTAGTGAAGCTAACCAACATAAAAATTGGGAGGTAGGATCAGATTCTGGAGGAAGGGACAAAAGTCAGATCACACATCACTGTTAACTCCTACCCTACATAACAGATATGTGGGGTGAGAATACTTAAAAAGTGAATATGTATATAGGCAAATATGAGTCCTGGGGCAGCATTGTGGGATCAGTAATTGGGCTGCTAGCCACAAGGTTGGTGGATTCAAACCCACCAGCAGTTCCTTGGAAATCCTATAGGCAGTTGCTGTGAATCAGAATTGGCTTGAAAGCACTTAACAGAACAGGCAAATTGGCAGCCCCAGTGTTTATGCCTTCTTAAGAAAAGTTTAAAGGAGCTCTGGTAGCATAGTGGTTACGAATCGGCAGTGACCCACAAAATCAGCAATTCAAAACTACCAGCTGCTCTGCAGGAGAATGAGGCTTTCTGCTCCCGTAAAGATTTATAGCCTCAGAAATCCTGTTCAGGGTCACTATGGGTCGGGACCGACTCGACGGCACTTAACAACAACAAGAAAAGTTAACTAAGCCAGCTTTTTTATGCTCTGTTTAGAAAAGTCAGCAAGTATCTGGTCCCACCTCTTCCTTATTCTGGGATCTGCATACCTCACAGCAACCTTCATGTAAAAGGAAGCCAATGAGGAAGTTCAAGCGAGAGGTAGACCATCTCCAAATAGCAGTTATAAATGAACAGCACCGAAGATGCCTACCAGAATCACAGCAGGGGGAGAAATAATGGTGGAGGAAGAGTATGCACAGAGGTTTCAGTTCTAAAAAAAGCTAGTGATGAACACAGTATTTGTGACTTTTACCGATGAGAACACAGGCTCAGGGAAACTGAACTTGCCTAAGATCTCAACTCTGATGAAGAGTCAAAATGCCTGGTTGCTTTTGCTACTATTGCAGATTCCATTTATACACCACACTAGAGTCTTGATGTGGCGCTGTATGATAAGCATTGGAACCGCAAGCTCGGCAATTCAAGTTCACCAGCTTCTCCTGGGAAACCCTATTTTTTTAAGTGCAGTTGAGTCGCTTCCAACCATAGCAACCCTGTTTAGGGTTTCTGAGGAGCAGCTGGTGAGCTTGAACTTCGGAGTGAGAATGGCACTAAACAGGATGCTGCTGGTAATTTAGACACAGATGTCAGTCAAATGGGCAGATATTAGCTCAAAAACCCTAGTAAGTGCAGTGTGTTATCTTTTCAGTGAGGATTTCCCAATAAGTCATTTCTCCACACATTGCTGAACTTATCTCTGTAAAAGTATCACTGATTTTAAAGCATTTTGATGAAAATGTTTAAACTTCAGTGAGTACTTTCCTATGCATTCAAAAATTCTGTTCAGTGAACACAATTCCAAGTCATCATGACTATCAATTATTCTATTTGATTAGAATTTGGAACTGTGAGAGCCAAAAAGTTAGTGAAAAAATGGAATTAAAATAAAAAGAAAAAATTTATTTTTCAACATAAGTTCCATCAAGGTCAAGACACTAGTAGGTGATATCAGAACCCTGGGAATTTAACCATGTCAAGTGCAGTCTCTCTCTACATGATTAACTGAAGAAAAATGGGTGTTCTTTGAAGATTTTAAGATTATGGAACAAAGTCAGAAGGTACCAAATCAGGACTATAAGGTTGATGCCTAATGATTTCCCATTGAAACTCTTGCAAAATTGCCCTTGTATGATGA